GTTTCACTTTTTCTTGAAGATTTTTTGGGGGAGGGGTTGTTTGTATATCAACTACTTAAATCATTAATTTTACCTACATCTCAATTTAAAACAGTCTCCTTCAGTACTACTACCTTTCTCCTCACCAAATATTTTTTAAACTCTTTTCTCTTAGACACTTTGGCTGGTTATTAACTTATCTAAGATTCTGCCTGTTCCTATTTCCATCCACGTCTTCAACAGCTTTTTGTTAGGATTTTTTAAGTCGTGGGTCCTTGGAAAAGTCTTTCAGGAAGCCACGCTGCAGGAAGTGACCGTTCTCTCCCACAGGAACTGTAGTCTCTTGCCCCATAAATAGGTTGCTTTGTTCCACATTCATGGATGAACCCTTCCAGCGCATCATATTCCCTAGGTACTTCAATTCCCTCTCAACTCAGTTTCTTGAATTTTAATAACTATTTCTGTATTTTGTGAACCCTCTATGCTGAATTCAATTAACTTTTTGCCATTGGGATAAAGTTTCTCATTACCATATGTGTTCTAGTCACTTCCTACAGGTACCTTTTCAGTTTTACACATACATTCACTCAGGAGCACTTTAAAGATGTTATCACACCCCACTACTGATTTATTTTTCTCCACTTTTACCAACAGGGAGACTCCAGCATTGCTAAGCTCTCTGGCAGAGATCAAACCCACCTACTTTCATATCACAGTTACAAGTATTTACTTTAATATTCCAAATGCAACCACAACTCAACATCTGTGTCTTAGTAGTCCGAGCTTCTCTTGCTTGTTCACCATAATCCTCACATTCCTGCAGACGCATGTTCACATTCTTTTAAACACTAGGCAGGAAAATGAAGGAGGCTTTTGTTTATAGAAAAACATCTTTTGTGCATCTGAGGTGTAACTCAAAGCAGCCTCCTAACTGTATTCATTCTAATGCTACCAAACTGGTTTTGGCAGTCATCCCTGATCTTGAATCCAGCATAAATACACATTACAGAGTGACAAAAAAAAAAAACACAGTTACTATGGAGTATATAATCAAAAGTACGAAGCTATTACAGTTCATACAGCAAGTGACATACAAAGTCATTAACAGGGATCCTGTTTTTCTGTTTAAAAAAATGCAAATTCTCTGATAAAAATCCAAAAATCTGCAAAGTGAAATCTCTCCCTCTTCCCTATCAATTGAACACAATGTTTTACTGATGTATTTACAATTCTAAAGCAATTTGGAAAATTACCAGTGCCTCAAACACTATAATAAAACAAATTCTAAATACTTATAAATTCTGGTATTTGATTTTGAGGCTTTTATCATAGAAAAAAAAATTGGAGCTCCCCCCACCCCCTTCACTCACCAGGATGCAGGTCCAGGCCCCTCACTCCCAAGCTACAGCCCCCTAGCCCTTTCAGTGCCCCTCACTCCCTCCCCCCTGCCAGAGGGAGCTCCCAGCTGCCAGGGCTATGGAGCCAGAGACCCAGGTTCACAGCCCTCTGCCCCCACCACCCCTTCCACCAGTGCATGAGTCCTGGCTGCCACCTGTGGGAGGTGGTAGTTACTGCAGTAGAGCCCAGAGTGCAGAGCCCAGCTTCCCCTTACTTGCGGCTGGCATGGCTAGAACAGAGCCCATGGGGGCGGGGGGGGAGGGAGGAGGC